ACGGTACAGCAGATGAAACTGAGCAAACTCAGGGAGGCAGTGAAGGACAGGAACGCCTGGCATGATATGGTTCGTGGGGTCACGAAGAGTCAGACACGACTTAACGACTGAACAACAACAAATTCATTATGAATGAAAAAGGTAAAATCTGTATCAGTAAGTATGAATTGGTACCATCTAGAGTGTTGTGGGTATCTATGAAAACAGGAATTCATAGGCTGGTGACAGATGCATGCTACATCCCAGTGAATGGTGATAGTGGAAGAATAAGTTGCAGGGAAAGTGACTTAAGATAAAAGATAAAAGTGTCCAGGAAGAATGGGAAATTCTATGAAATGAGCACAATTGCAAAAAAAATTCCCAAAATACAATGGGAAAAGTATAAAGAAGCCAACATGTGAAGTTTTGTAAAACACTTAAGAGAAAAAAGGACCTGTACAAGAAATGGAAGGAAACATAACTAAAGAAAAATACTGGCTAGTCTCCAGAAACGGTAGGAACTCAGAAAGACTAAAGCTCAAAATGAGCTAATGTTTGTGAGACACCCAAAACAGCAAAAAAGGATTGTTTGGGTATGTTAGAAATAAAAGGAAAGCAAAAAAGAGTGTCGACCAATTGAGAGGAGAAAGCATTGAAGCGGTAATGGGTGAAAGTGAGCAGGAAGAACTTAATTCCTATTTTGCAACTGTCTTCTCTCAGAAGAGAAACGGTGCCCTGGTTGGTCATTGTTATGCTACTGGGGAAACAAGGAACAACAACTCAGGATAGACAAGAGGATGGACTTGGCTCATTTAAGTAAATCCAAGTCTCCAAAGTCAGATGGAGTATTTCTCAAGATAATGAAGGAACGAGTAGAGGTTCACAGAACCACTCTTGGTAATCTTTGAGAACTCCTGGAGGACTGTGTAGGCCCAGATGACTGGAGGAGAACAAATGCCATTCTTGTCTTCAAAAAGGAGAAGTAGGAGTACCTGGAAGATTACAGAGCTTGACATCTATACTGGGCAAAGTCCTCAAACAGATTATCAACAGTTTCTCAGCACTTAGATAGGCAAATTATAATTAACAGAAACCAGCATGGGTTTGTTGCAAACAAATCATGCCAGACTGACATTACCTCCTTCTTTGATAGAGTTGCTAGCTTAGTAGATCAGGGAATGCCACAAACCTGGAACTCAACAAAGATTTTGACAGGATGTCTCACTATATTCTTCTTCATAAAGTAATAATATATGGGCTAGTCCCTTCCAACTATGGTTCTATGATACTACATAAGTTTTGGGACGATTTGGAATCCTAAGAATGAATGAGAATGGTGATAATAGATATCTGAGATATCTATCTTAGAAAATAGAAGATATTTTCTTAGAAAAAGATGTTTGCTTTGAATGTACAGCTGACACAGAAGTCTATTGAATTTCATACATTTTTAGAAAACTACTGTATCAAAAAGTGCAGCTGATGTTATTGTTGAGGATGAAAGACTGAGATAATTAACAAAGAATAGAAGGATAGTGGCAGGTTCTGAAATGTAGAAAAGACCATTATTTGGTAGTGTTAAGACTGGATCTTTGGGGGAAAATGGACATGGAAGAAAAGGGAAAAATGGAAAGAAACTAGAATGAAAGTAAACTGACCACAGGAATAGAAAGAGTTATGTCCTGCAGAAAAAGGTGTAAGATGATAATCTCCCAAAAAGGAAAGTGACAATGGACATAAAAAAAGAGAATATCGAAGCTGCTTTGAAAAGACTAAAAAGAGTTTGTTAAGTGTTCTTTGGATTTTATCTAGCACAGTGTTGTCCAAACTTGGCCACTTTAAGATGAGTGGACTTCAACTCCCAGAA